TCTCCCTCTGACCCTCCCCCCTCTCATGTGCTCTCTCTCATTCTCTCTCTCACAAATAAATAAATAAAATCTTTAAAAAAAAAAAAAAAAAAAAAGAACTGCTAAGACCATGAAAATCTGAGTGAGTCACAGGGGCCTTCACATAAGGGGTCAGAGGCGCCGGAAAGTGCTTAAAAGAAGTCAGCCCTGAAGTGGGGAAGGCTAGGGGAGGAGTAAGTAGGGAGACTTACTTTTGACTTTTACCACTTTATGGCTTTTGAGCTTTGTACTCTGTATGTGTACTGACATTATTACAAAAATAATTTTTAAAATTATTTAAGATGAATTTCAGTAAGAAAGAAGCCCGACTGCAGTAGGTTGAGAATGACTTTGGAGAGAGGAAAAACTGGAGAAGTTACCTATGCACATCTCTTTCAAGAAGCCTCCCTTTGAAAGACATGAGAAAAATAGGACGACGGTAGCTTGACAAAATGTCATGTGTTGTTTTGTTCGGAAGAAAGTAAGAACTAAAGCACTCTGAGGGGCGCCTGGGTGGCTCAGTTGGTTAAGGAGCCGACTCTTGTTTTTGGCTCAGGTCATGATCTCAGGGTCGTGGGATCAGGCCCCACGTCGGGCTCTGTGATCAATGGGGAGTCAGCTTGAGGATTCTCCCTCTGCCTCTGCCTCTCCCCCCACTTGTGCTCTCTCTCTAAAATAAATAAATAAATCTTTAAAAAAAGAAAAGCGTTTGGAGATATTAATCAGAAAGAGTCAGGAGAAATGAGGTTAACAATGCAGCTGGTAAAGGAGATAATTAGGGAGGCAGGGTGAGGTCTGAAGAGGCAAGAGAGTTGGCAATTCAGAGTATGGACAGGGGTTTCTAGGGACACTGGATGAGATAGGTCCACTCCCCTTTCTTCTTCCTCTATCCAGCCCAGGCATAGAGGGGAAGCTGCTTCAGGGTGGGCCTGATTAGTCTAAGCCACTTGGCAAAATCTCGGCTCCTCTTAACCCAGTAATTAGTCCAGGAGTGGGCATGTGACACAATTCTTGCCAATAAGACCTAAGGAGGCATTAGGTGCGGTTTCAAAAAAAAAAAAAAAGAGGTTCCTACTTTTCTGAGAGAGGTGCAGGAAGCTCTCCTTCTCCTGCTCAAAGTGAATGAGGAAGCATGTAGCCCCAACTGTTGCTGGCAGCCATTCCATAACCATAAGGGGAACTATCTCTAGGAGAAAGCTAACATTTGGATGAAGAGCAGAGAGACGAAATGATCCTGGATCATCAAGATCGCCGAGCCACTGGATCAGCCAGCCCTGAAGCCTGCCGTCAGTTTGGACTTCCAAGATAAAAAACACATTAAGTTGGGTTTTCCTATACTCACAGCCTGGAGCCCTCTCACTGATAAACATCCCTTTCACCGTGACAAGAGGAGTAAGACACATGGGAAGGCAGGAATTGAGAGAGAGATGATGTCTGATGGTTCTCATTTTTCTCTGTAAAGTAAAAAGTGGTCCAGACGCTAAGAGTGAGGAGGGAGCAGGGAGGCATGAGAAGGCTGGACCTGGCCATTCAGGGCAATGGGGAAGGGGGCTGCATGCAGCTCCGTGGAGGCCAGGCGGGCTGTGCTGAGCATGCACATGCGGGTCTGGAGACGTTTGCCAGCTGCAGATACATGAAGCTGTGCCGCCCACCCAAGACCACTGTCCTGGCATTGGCATGGTAGATCAACGGGATAAGAGGAAAAGTGGTTGGGGACATCAGAACAAGAGTAGTTGAAGAGATGGACCCCGGGGTTTGGCTGGACTTGGAGAGTAGAGGCAGGAAGGAGCTGATCAGTCAGGAAAAAACAAAAGGGCAAAGTGACTATAAAACTCAGCAGATCAAAGAACAGGGACAGTAGAACTGAGAGCCCCTAGGAGACAATGCAGAGAAATGTCCTAATAAACAGAGGTTAAGTCCCCAGAATAACACAAAGCAAGGCTCTAGGCCCAGCACCCCTACACCCTGCTGCCCACTCCAGCCCCAGCCCTTCAGTGTTGTTTCAGGATTAACTGCAATAGATAAATTCTAGTCTAACTGAAGCTGAACAGACACAGATAAGAACCTGGAAGGGCCTAATTCTTCCATTATCACCCAGAGTTACGTGCACATCGGCAGGTCGGAGGGAAATGTTTTCAAGTTTGTGTCAATGTTTTTGAAAGTTCTGTAGGGAGAGAAGACACTCTGTGAAGGAGACATGAGGAACACTGCAAGAAAAGCATTCCTTAAACCAGCCCTTTTAAAGAACTCACCTCTGCATTCATCTTGATCTCCTACTTCTGTGGCTGTGAAGACAAAAGCAGAGGTCAGGACCCTGAAGACACCTGCCCCAGACTCCATGCAGACACTCCCCTTTGCCATCCCACTTTCTCCCACACTCTTATTTGTTTTTTTTAAAGATTTTATTTATTTTAGAGAGAAAAAGAGAGTGAGTGGGGGGAGGGAGGGAGAGGGAGAGAGAGAGAATCTCAAGCAGACTCAGCACTGAGTGCAGAGCCTACCGGGGAGCTTGATCCCACGACCCTGAGATCATGACCCAAGCCAAAACCAAGAGTCGGACGCTTAACTGACTGGGCCACCCAGGAGCCCCAGATCTGCCTTTCTTTTATGGAGACAAGCAAGGCAGCAGGAAATACATACTTCTTTTTTTTTCCTCCTAGCTGACTTTCCAGAGGACTTAAACGTATTATGTTAAAAGTACAGTTTACTCTGAATCCATAGCATTAAGGAGGAGGAAAGAAGAAACAAACAGGTGAGTAGGAGTCAGAAGAAATGAGGAAAGAAAAAGGGAAGGGAAGGAGAAACAGGAGAGAGAAGAAAAAGAAGTAAGAAACTAGTAGGGAATAATCGTGGTTCCAAACTTTAATGTACTCCAAGGACTGCTTGTTGAAAATGCATATTTCTGGCTTCTACCCCCAGAGATTCTGATTCAGGAAGTCTACAAGGGAGGGGAGGCTGAGAATCTGCATTTTTAACAGGTGTCCAAAAGATCATGTGCACGTGGTCAGACAGCCAAACCTGGAAAAACACTAGAACTGAGAGTAAAACAGAGAGGCCCATAAAAATTAACTTTCTCATTCATTTTTCAGAGCTCTTAGAATTGCCACTTTATCTCAACTAAGACTCGGGCAGGCAATGGCAGGGTGACTGTGTGACTAGAAGTGACAGAGAAAGAATTAAAGCCTCTCCAGCCCTCCCACCCGAGTGGGATGTCCAGGAAGTCAATGCAGATGCTGCTCAGAGCTGGATGAGAGGGAGGAGGGCCCTCCAAGTCCTCTGGGAAGGGAAGGCTTGGCTCGGTCCTTGGACCCATCCCTGCATTTGAGCTCATTCTCCTTCAAAATATAGAAAGGGTTGGACATAGTGATGATAACCATGAACAAGAACAATGAAACAAATAACACCCATTATTAAAAACAACAAACAGAAACAAAAAAAAAAAACTGACCCTTGACAATCCTATGAACATCTGGGATGGTCATCTGGGCTGTGTGTTGAAAGTAACCCATTTTCAGAAATTCCCCTCCCTTCTTCTCTCCTCATTCCTCCTTTGTGCTTTGAGATTGGGTCTCATGACCTAACCTAGCAGGCACATGGGCTGTCTTTCCTTTAATAACCCAGGGCCTTTTCATGTTTCCTGAAAAATGTGAAAAGGGGAACTTGTAGAAGACAAACCTAAAAAGCAGGGAGTAACAAAGCGGGTAAGCTTTCCTCCCAGATCTCAGGGAGTCAGTATGGGTATGATGTCTTCTCATGCATAAAATATCTTGGAAGGAAAACCAAGATACTGACAGCAAAGCCAGGGGGAAAAGCTAGAACTAAGCAAGGACGTGTGTTAAGTAGCAGCCTGGAGCACAGTGGGGCCCCAGAGAACACACCCTGGTAGCTCTCCCATGCAGATGCCCTACCCAAAACTCTACTGTGTTTTACTCATATTTTTAAGAATTTTGATTAAGCCTCCCTTAGAGCTTACATGTGGGTGGGAAAGTCAGATAACAAAATGCACAGATATGAGGAGGTTAGTTACAGTTGTGAGCCTACTTATATCAACTACTTTGTATTAACATGAATCCACAGACCCTTGGCAAAAGAGCTAACGCTAATTCTATTTTACAGACAAGGCACCTGAAGTTCAGTGTGGATACAAGCATTTGGTCTCACAATCTAGGCCCTGTAGCACTGCACGGTAATTTTCAGACTTTGTGGTTCTAGAGCCAAACTCCAGAGTACTCCAGAGACCTTTACAGATCCCGTCTTACACTCCCTCAGACAACTACTGTGACAAACAGAACTGGTGTTGGCCCTGCATCAGTCATGGGTAAGCCAAGGGATCATGTCCAAACAGGTTCCTCGTCTGTAGGCTGAATGAGTGGACTTCATCCCTAAGGTCTGTTCCTGCTCGAAAAGGCTCTCTGATTCCCACAAAATGAAATTCAGGCGACTTTTAAAACAAGTAGAACAATGCTCAACCTCACTTATGATCACAGAATGCAAATTATTATTTCACAAAGGTGCTCTATCAGACTGCCAGAGATCAAAATGTTTGCCACGGTGCAATGGGGAAAGGGTGGGGAAGAATACACTCTCTGACATTACTGGGGGACTACAGATGGGTATCAGCTCTGTAAGAGGGCAGTATGCAACATCTATTACAATTCCAAATGCACACAACCCCTGACCTAGCAATTCTACTGCTTCTAATTTGTCTCCAGCGCCCAAATCACATTCAAAAGAAATCATTAAATTGCCCTGAGTCCTTTGTCCTTGCAGAAACATTGCTACTACTTGCCTTTCCTTTCAAATGAGAACTTCCAGGAAAGTTTTCCTATGAAAAATGTCTACAAAACATTGTTTATAAACCTTACTGCTTTCCCACAGAATCTGGGAAAGCAAAACAAAAGAAAACAAAGAATGATGTGGAGAAATGCACATGTGGGAGACAGAATCCCGCTTAGAAATCCTAGCTCATTAGGCATCAGTAGTCTACTACCTAGGATGAATTACACTCTCATGCATAAAGCACATTCAACTGGGGTATCCTGGCCAGATCCTTAGACCGGGGTATCCTTCCCATGCTCTCTCCCTTCCAGCTTTCAATTCCTCTTATAATAAGATGGCACAGCCAAGAGGCACGACCCCAGACCAGGCGGGATCTGGCTCTGCCTTTCCATTCTCTCCCTGCTCATCACCCAGTTCTCTTCCTCCCCACTGGCCTGCCAAGACGAGGTAAAGTTTGAAAAGAATCCAGGGAGCATTTTATTCTATATTTTAATATATTCTTAAATATCTAAGACCTAATCCTATAGCAAGAAGATTTAGGTCTGTTCATTTGTTTACTTCAAGGGTTTAATATTTAACTGGTCAAACACTAAAAGCCTTTAAGTTTCTGACTGTCGGTATTACGTTTAGAAACAGGTATAGACACATTTTTATTTCCTTTTAGATTTTTAACTTTTTAATTTATTTTTGTATTTTAATCCATCTAGGCTGTATTTTGGTGTATGGCATGCGGTAAGACTCTACCTGTACTTTTCCCCCAAATAGTTGAGTTGTTCCCAAATAATTAATGGACTATTTCATCATTTCCCCCAATGACTTGTACATAAGATCTTATGAATATGGTTATTCTTTTTTTCACTTTTTCTGCTGTCATTGACCTTTATTCCCATGGCTATAATATACTGTTTACATGACTATGACTTAATACGTTTTGTTATCTGATAGTTCAAGTTCTCTCATTAACTTGTGCAGTACTCCTATCTATTCTTGCTTGCTCGGACTTCCAGATTAATTTTAGAACATCTTTGTCAAGTAAAAAAAAAAAAAACAAACAAAACAGAACAGTTCCACTGAGACTGTGCCTGTAACTGTATCAAACTTATAAATTAAATTAATGTGAATTAATAGGTCTCCCCATCCAGAACTATATGGTATGTCTAGGAGCAGAGCGAGAATCTTGAGTTAGTTCCTGAATTACCAAATAATGACAAATGATAGTTCAGGCTGCAGTGGTTCACTAGACAGCTAAAGAAAAAAAGCCAAGACTTTTGCATAAAAAAACCTGCTTAAAGCAATTTGAGGTTGGTTTCTCCTTTCCCCACATCTACTGTAGCAGGTATACTAAACAGTGCTGGAGTTTGAGCTTTGACCCCAAAATGTGATGCACTCAGACAAGCTATCACTCTGGGGGATACCAGCCTGCCTGTGGCTCAAGAACAGAATTCTATACCTGACATGAGCACCCAATGCCGCCAGTCTGACCAAGGCCAAGGTACGTGTGTTGGTTTCTGCACCACAAAAAAAGGAGAGGGGCAGATGAACTTAGGCATATTTAGATGACCTCTCTTTCGGTGCTGACATGCTGTAATTCTAACCCACTTCTATTTTTTTGTTCTCCTTTGGCTTAGCTTCCTCAGTGTTTGTCTTGGTTAACTGGAGGTTATTAACTTCTTTTCTGGTTCTCTCAAAGGCACAGACGCATGTAAACTGGGACAAGGCTCCAGTTATCAGAGCCAGGGAAGCAGCTGCCATTGACATTAAAACACACAAAAGGGCTGAAGAGGTAAAGCTTTCCTGGACACTCTCTCCAAACCTAAGCCACTCTCTTCCTCTCCCCACCTTCTTGCCACTCCTACCTGCTCTATGTTCGTCCTATTCCTCCTTATCACCATTTCGAAACCATCTACCTTTTCTTGAAAGTACCATTTTTCAAAATTGTCGTCATGATGTTGACTAGTATAAATAGATTATTTGTGGTGGCTTTTTTTCTTTTTTTTTAAGATTTTATTTTTAAGTAATCTCTACGGGGGCTCCGGCTCCCAATCCCAAGATCAAGAGTCGAGTGCTCCACTGACTGAGCCAGCCAGGCGCCCTTATTTGTGGTTTTCTACGATCTGTAATTCTGTTTTCTATTGGAATGGATGATAAAGCACTAATTATTGAAAAAAAAAGTGATCTTGATAGATATAAAAAGAAAAACTGAGGTAACAGGAGTCAAAATACTCTTATTAAGGAATAAACGTCTAGTGTACTGAAATTTATGAGGGTCTGTCCTGTTTTTTTAAAGTGACTTAATTAATTCAAATAATTGCAAATAATGTGCAACTCAGTTTCAAAATTGGGTTGAGATCAGGATATTCTGGGGCCCATAGGTGTTGTTAGACATTGATCCCCCAGAAAGATAGGAACGTTGGTTCCCTTTTACCGAAAGGCCAGTTCTTCCTGCTGGAGACAGCTACAGGATCCCAGGACCTGCAGAGCATAACTGACAAGTGGGGGAGGGCAAGCGAATGCAAACCTTCCACACAGGCGGAACATGTAGCACTAACTTTTGTTTCTAACCTTTTAAAAGCTCTTACAAACAGACAGCAAAGTGGTGGTTGCCAGAGGGGAGGTGGGGAGAAGCCTCCAGCATGCTTTACTTTCCAAATGACCAGAACTATGTAACTAATCAAGTTTACCTTCCTAGAAACAAATCTGAGACCCAACTAGAGACCTGCACTGTCCTGTAAGGTAGCCACTAGACAGATATGGCTACGAATATGTTAGTTAATTAAATATAGGGCATTTCCATTATCACAGGAAGGTCTATTGGACAGTACTGACATACTCACTCTTTTTTTTTGCCCGGACTTATTTTCTGTTCTTACACTGTCTCTGCTCCCAGTATCTATATATATACACATACATATATTTATATTTATATTTATTTCTGACCATGCTATGCGATTTTGTTGTGAACTACCTTAATTCCTTTGTCGAACGATTCAGGGTATCAGGACTTGGAAAGATCTGTGTATGTATTTAACCGTGTTGCTGCTGGGAGCTCAGCCTTAGTTTTTTTAGAGCGCACTTAACTCATTTAACCCTCACAGGGGTCTATGAAATACCTATACTTTCCAGTTTCCCAAGAGGAAAGCGCGGCCAGGAGAGGTGTAGGAGCTTGCGCAGGATCTGTACTCGAGGCGCAGAACCCCGGCCCCGCACGGCTCGCGTGGAGCGAGCTGTCAGCACACGTTCGAGCTGCCGCGACAGAACCACTGGCTCAGCCCCAGCCCCTTGGACTACGCCGTGCACGTACACAGCCCCGGCCGACTTACGCCTACATTACAACTGAAACCATAAACACTTTTAAAATAAAATACACATTTACTTTTTTAAACAGTCTGTGTTTTGCTTATTTGAGGAAGCCCCTTCCAGGGAGAGCTCGCCGCGATCCCGGCCAGCCAAGCCCCGGGACTGCCTGCTCCCCCTCCGGGCCCAGCGGAGCGAGGCAGCAGGCGCCCAGGCGGAGGCCGGGGTTTCGGCCCTGGGCCCGAGGCCACAGGGTGGGGCCCGGTCTCCCGCGGGCCACGTTTTCCAAGCTCCTGCCCAAAGGTTTTTAAAAAGCTGGCCGCGACCCCCGTTCACGCCCGCGCCGTCCGCCTTACCTGCAGCTGGCTACAAAGCTCGAGCTCCCCGCGCAGTCGCCGTGCGGCCGCCTAGCCTGCCGCTGAGGCGGGCGCCGGCTCCGATTGGCCGAGGCGCGCGAGGGCGGGGGGAGCGCCCGGGGGAGGTGAGGGGAGGGGCCCTGCTTCAGGCCCCTGGTGGGAGAGCCCCGCCCCAGCCTCCAGGGCTGGCTGCGAACCGACTGACGGACGAGGGACGCAGTGGGAGGAGGAGAAGACCGTAGGCCGCCCTGTTCCAGACCTGTGAGGCCTCCGCGCGGGGGGGTTGGGGGGTGGGGTCTACCGTGTGCTCCGCCCCTCTTCTGGGCAGCACTCCCATCACGAGAATCCGCTCGGTCCTTTTTGGGTCCAGGTTAAAGAGGCAGCAAAGCATTTTTTGTTTTTTTTTCTTTTTCTGTCGGTGTGGTAACATACACATAACGTAAAAGTTACCGTCTTAATAATTTTAAGTGCACAGGTCAGGGATATCAAGTACATTCGCACTGTTGTGCCATGATCACCACCATCCCTCCCCTATGTTCGTTTTGTGAAACTCAAACTCTCTACTCATTAAACAATGACTCCCCCTTATGCCCTGGCAAAGTATGCTTTTTTCTTTGTGATTCCATTGCTCTTAAGAACCTCCTGTAAGTGGAATTATACAGTATCTGTCTTTTAGTGACTGGCTAATTTCATTTAGCATAAGGTCCTCAAAGTTCATCCGTAAAGCCTTATTGCAGAATTTCTTCCCTTTTTAAGGCTAAACATTTAAGTCTTGTCCATTCATCCAATTGATGGGACACTTGAGTTGCTTTCACAGTTTAGCTATTGTGAATAATATTGCTATGAAAAGGGGTGTACAAATACCTGAGACCCTGCTTTCGATTTTTTTATTTATATCGAAAAAATATATAAGTATATATATATATATATATATATATATATATGAAGTATATACCCAGAAGTGGAATTGTTGGATCATATGGCAATCCTATTTTAAATTATTTGAGGAACCACCCTACTGTTTTCCATAATGACTCTACCATTTTACATTTCCACCAATAATGTACAAGGGTTCCCATTTCTCCACATCCTCACACTCATTTTCTGTTTTCTTGATGGTAACCGTCCTAATGGGTATGAGATTGTATCTCATTATAGTTTTAATTTGCATTTCTCTAATAATATTGAACAACCTTTGGTGAGCATGTTGGCCATTTGTATCTCTTCCTTGGAGAAATATCCAAGTCATTTTGAGTCAGGTTGGTTGGTGTTGAGTTTCGGGAGTTTTCTATCTATTCTGGATATTAATCCTTTATTAGATATGTGATTTGCAAATATTTTCTCCCATTCTGTGAGTTGCCTTTTTACTCTGATGATAGTGTCTTCTGATACAAAATATTTTAAAATTTTCATGGAGTCGATTTCTCTAATTTTCCTTTTGTTACCTGTGCCTTTAATGTTATATCAGAAATCATTGCCGGGGCACCTGGGTGGCTCAGTCGTTAAGCGTCTGCCTTTGGCTCAGGTCATGATTTCAGGGTCCTGGGATCGAGCCCCGCATCAGGCTCCCTGCTCAGCGGGGAGCCTGCTTCCCCCTCTGCAGCTTCCCCCTCTGCAGCTCCCCCCATTTGTGTTCCCTCTCTTGCTGTGTCTCTCTCTGTCAAATAAATAAAATCTTTAAAAATAAATAAATAATAAAAATAAAACTAAATAAAATAAAAAAAAAGAAATCATTGCCAAATCTGATATCACAAAAATTTGTCCTATTTTCTTCCAGAAATTTTATTGTTTTAGGTCTTATTTTGGTCCTTGACCCATTTTGAGTTAATGTGGATATCCAGTTTTCCCAGCACCATTTGTTGAACAGACTGTCCTTTCCCCATTGAATGGACTTGACATTCTTGTCAAAAATCATTTGACTATACATGTGAGGGTTTATTTCTGCGGTCCCTATTTTATTACATTAGTCGATATATCTGTCTTTTTGCCAGTACCACACTGTTTTGATTGCCTATAGCTTTGTAATCAATTTTGAAATCAGGAAGTGTGAGTCCCCCTCCTCTCTTGTTCTTTTTCAAGATCGATTTGGCAATTCATGGTCCCTTGATATTCCATGAATTTTAGGATGAGTTTTGCTATTTCTGCAAAAAAAAAGTCATTGGAATTTTTGTTGGGACTGAATTGAATCTATATATTAGTTTGGGTGGTATTGACACTATAATGAGATTAAGTCTTCTAATACATGAACATGGGATGCATTTCCATTTATTTATGTCTTCTTTAATTTCTTTCAGCAAGGTTTTATAGTTTTCATTGTGCAAGTTTTTCACCTCCTTAGTTAATTTCTAAGTATTTTATTCTATTTAATGCTGTTGTAAAATTATTTTTGTCATTCTTTTCGGATTATTCATTGTTAGTGTATAGAAATGCAAGTGATTTTTGTGTGTTGACTTTATCCTGCTACCTTCCTGAATTCACTTATTAGTTCTAATAGTTTTCTGTAGGGTTTTTCAATTTTCTACATATTAGATCATATCATCCACGAACAGAGATAATTTTACTTCTTCTTTTCCAATTTGGGTTTTTATTTCTTTTTCTTGTCTAAATGCATTGGCTACCACATTGGGCTCTGTGCTGTGTGTAGGGTCTGCTTGGGATTCTCTCTCTTCTTCTGCTTCTCTCTCTAAAATAAATTTTTAAAAAACTAAAAAAATAAATAAAAAAATAAAAATAAATGCATTGGCTAGATCTTCTAGTACTATGTTGAATAGAAGTGGTGAAAGTGGGCATCTTTGCCTTGCTCCTGATCTTACAGGAAAAGCTTTCAGCCTTTCACCATTGAATATGTTTTGCTGTGTTTTTGTATCTGACCTTTATGATGATGAGGTAGTTTCCTTCTATTCCCAGTTTTTATCATGAAAGGGTGTTGAATTTTGTCAAATGCTTTTCCTATATCAATTGAAGTGATCGTGTAGTTTTTTTTCCCTTGAGTCTCTTGATGTGGTACATTAAATTTATCAGTTTTCATACTGAACCATCCTACTTGGTCATGGTGTATATCCTTTTCAATATGCTGCTGAATTCTGTTTCCTAGTGCTTTGGTGAGTATTTTTTCATCAAGGCTAATAAGGGATATTCATCTGTATTTTCCTTTCTTATAGTGTCTATGTGTGGCTTTGGTATCAGGGTAATATAGGCCTCATAGAATGAATCAGGAAGCATTCCCTCCTCTTCAATTTTTTGAAAAATTTGAGGATTGGTACTAGTTCTCTTTTAATGTTTGGTAGAATTCACCAAGTGAAGCCAGCAAGTCCAAGGTTTTTCTTTCTGTGGGGATTTTTGATTACTGATTCAATCTCCTTACTAGTTATACAGATCTCTCCAGATTTTCTATTTCTCCATGATTTAGTCTTATTAGCTTTTGTGTTTCTATGAAAATGTCCATTTCATCTAGGTTATCCAATTTGTTAGTGTACAATTGTTCTTAGTATTCTCTTATAGTCCTTTTTATTTCTGCAGAATAGATAGTAATGTCTCTACTTTCATTTCTGATTTTAGTAATTTGAGTCTTTTTATTTATTTTTTTCCTTAGTTCATCTAGCTAAAGGTTTGTCAATTTTGCTGATGTTTTCAAAGAATAAACTTTTGGTATCATCCATTTTCTCTATTATTTTTCTCTTCTCTCATTTATTTCTGTTCTAATCTTTTATTATTTCCTTCTTTCTGCTAGCTTTGAGTTTAGTTTGTTGTTCTTTTCTAGTTCCTTAGGTTGTAAAGTTAGGTTGTTGACTTGGAATCTTTTTTTATTTTTATTTATTTTTTATTTATTTATTAGAGAGAGAGCACGCAAGCAGAATAAGCAGGGAATTGGCAGGTGAAGGGAAAGGGAGAAGCAGGCTCCCTGCTCAGACGTGGGGCTCAATCCCTGGATCCTGGGATCATGACCTGAGCCAAAGGCAGATGCTTAATGAACTGAGCCACCCAGGCACCTTTCCTTCTTTTTTTAAATATAGTGTTTTTAGCTATAAATTTCCACCTTAGTACCATTTTTACTGTGTACCATAAATGTTGTGGGTTTTTTTTTTTTTCATTAATCTTTAAGTATTTTCTAATTCCCCTTGTATTTTCTTCTTTAATCTACCGGGTATTTAAAACATGCATTGTTTAATTTCCACAATTTTGTGAATATTCCAGTTTTGTTTTTGTTATTGACTTCTAATTTCATCCCATTGTGGTCAGAGAAGATACTCTGTATGATATCTATCCTTTTAAATATATTGAGACTTAATTTGTGACCTAATATGGTCTGGAAAATGTCCAATGTGCACCCGAGAAGAATGTGTAATCTGTTATTGTTGAGTTGAGTATTCTGTGTATGCCTATTAGATCTAGTTGGTTATTGTGTTCTTTCATGGTTCACTATGAAAACTATTCTGCAGAAATAAAAAGGACTATAAGAGAATACTAAGAACAATTGTACACTAACAAATTGGATAACCTAGATGAAAATGAAATCCTCTGTTTCATTATTTATATTCTGTCTGGTTGTCCTATCCATTATTGTGAGTGGGGTATCACAGTCTTCAACTATTATTGTAGAATTGTCTGTTTTTCCCTTCAATTCTGTCAGTTTTTGCTCCATATATTTTGATGGTCTGTCACTAGGTACATGAATGTTTATAATTATTATTTATTCTTGGTGTATTGAAACTTTCATTAATATATAATGTCCATCTCTGCCTCTTGTAAACTCTTCTGTTTTAAAGTCTATTTTGTCTGATATTATTACAGCTACCTCTGCTTTCTTTTGATTACTATTTGCATGGAGTATCTTTTTTCCATCCATTTACTTTTGACCCGTTTGTGTCTTTGGTTCTCGTCTGAGTCTCTTGTAGAAAGCATGTGTTTTTAGCCATTCTGCTAATCTCTGTCTTTTGATTGGAGAGCTTAATCCATTTACATTTAAAGTAATTACTGATGAGGAGGGACTTAACTTCACTTACTATTTGTTTTCTACATGCCCAATAGCTTTTTTTGGTCCCTCATTTCCTATAACTACCTTCTTTTTTTAGTTGACTTTTTGTA